TTCCAGTTGAGTATTGAAAATTAGCCAAGATGCCATTAGACAAGGAACGAGTTGTAAGAATAAGAGACCTTGGAACTGATGATAATAACGAAGTTGAAGAAGATGAGGAAGTCGAAGATGAAGAATTAGAAGAGCAACTGTATGCAATCTTGGAATTTAATGATGAAAGAGGGAATGTTCAAAAAAGGCTAGGCTCAGAATGGGATGAAATTATGATAGAAGAAAGAGATATTAGACGAACGAATGAAGAAATAATATTATACAATGAAGGACCTGTTGCAGATCTTATTTTGGCACAAGAGGAAGACAACCGATCTATATCAGATCTATTTGATTATTACTATGAAAAAGGAAGCTGCTCTAATATTAAATATAATATAGGGGAAGTAGAAGATGACCAAAGAAAGCAGTTGTTGGAGTTACTTAGAGAAAATCCTGATCTTTGTGCTCAAGATATTTCTAAGTTGGGCTAGACTGATATAATTTGACATTGTATTCCTACCCAAGACGTATAGCCGATTCGTCAATGATCATATCAATATTCTCCCACAGAAAAGCGATTTCTCAAAGAAGAAATTAATAGTATATTGGATAAGCAGATTATTCGACCATCTACTAGCCCGTAGGTGTCACTAGTTGTATTGGTTAAGCAACGAAACCAAAAGATGCGATTTTGCGTTGATTATAGAAAATTGAACGCCGTAACTGTCAAAGACAATTATCCATTACCCCAAGTTGATAAACTTTTGAATACTTTGAATAGATCATCTTGGTTCACGTTATTAGACTTAGCCAGTGGATATTGGCAGGTCAAGATGTTCGAAGATGATAAAGAGAAGACTGTGTTTATTTCACTATACGGACTTTACGAGTTCAACATTATGCTGTTTGGACTTATGAATGCCCTGGCTACGTTCCAGAGGTTAATGGATCAAATCTTCAGCAACATAAGTGGAAGATTTGTTGTCATGTATCTTAATGATCTTAACATTTTTTCTAGATCGTTTGAAGAACACTTAGATCACTTGAAAGAAGTATTTCTACGATTGAAGCAGGCAGGTTTGAAAATTAAGCCCCAAAAGTGTTATTTCACCCGTAAAGAATTGAAATTTTTAGGGTATATTGTAAGCATGCAAGGAATATTAACTGACCCAGAAAATATTCGAGCTGTTCAAGAATTTTCTGTTCCTCGAAATTTGAGACAGTTACGTAGATTTTTAGGATTAGTATCTTACTATCGACGATTTATCTCTGAATTTACAAAAATCGCAATTCCATTAAATTCGTTACTATGAAAGAACATTGGATATCATTGAATATCAATACATCAAGAAGCTTTTGAGAAATTAAAAGAAAAACTTATCACAGCTCCAGTTTTAGCATACCTGAATTTTTTAAAACCTTTTATCCTTTTTACAAATGCATCAGATTTAGCCCTAGGCGCTATTCTTTCTCAATTGGATGATGACGGAAAAGAAAGAGTGACTGCTTATGCAAGTCGCTCTTTGACCCCAGCAGAAAAAAATTATTCTGTAACAGAAAAAGAGTGTCTTGCCGTCGTTTGGGCTGTTTCATATTTTAGACCTTATCTTCACAGAGTTCCTTTTACACTTTATACAGATCATTCTGCATTAAAATCATTATTTTCTCATTGGCTACCCCAGAATCGACTGGCCAGGTGGATCCTGATCTTGCAGGAGTATAGATTTACTACCATCCACAGATCCGAAAAAATATATCTTAACGCCGATAGTCTTTCACGAATTTAAGACAATCAATTTTTTTATTTTTACTCCTATTTGAACTTTGATGATATCGATTTCGGATTACCCAAATTTTGATTAATAAAACTTTATGGATTTAGATACATATTACTTATTTTTAAGGTACCTTAGCAAGTCTACAGTACTTTCTAGTTATACTAGTGCCCAGATTAGAATTTTGAAGCATAAAACATGTCATTATCTCGCTCGAGAAGGATTGTTATACAAGAAGAACCCCCGGAATCCTCTTAGACCATTACGAATATTGAAGCCACAAGAAGTTGAACTCGTATTATATGCAATGCATTCGGATCCCTTAGCTGGGCATTTCAATAAAGAGGCAATATACTAGCGAGTTATTACCTGATATTTTTGGCCACAGATGGGAAACGATATTCGGAATTATGTTAAGTCATATGACTCGTGTCAAAGAAGGGAAAAACCTGTTACTAGAGAACATCTTCACTCTATTTGAATTGGACAACCCTTTGATCGAATAGGTATCGATATTGTTGGACCTCTTCCTGTTACTATGAAAGAATATCGGTATATATTTGTAGTGACCGAATACTTAACTCGATGGCCTGAGGTGCGTGCTATTAAATATGCTAATGCTGAAACAGTAGTGGCTTTTGTGTTCAAAGATATTATTTGTCGTCATGGGAGTTCACGTGGGTTGCTTTCAGATCAAGGAACTCATTTTTGTAATAAAATTGTGGATGTATTGTGTTCTAAGATAAATATTCACCATTCAAAATCAACAGCTTATCATCCTCAAACGAATGGATTGGTTGAGCGTTTCAATCGAATGTTGTGTGAAGTTTTAGCTAAGTGTATAGAGTAGTTTAATGGTGATTGGGAAAATTACGTACCTGCAGCCCTTTTGCTTATCGAACAAATCGGCATTCTACGACCCATTACGATTCTTTTTTTCTTGTATATGGCAGGAATGCTTTGTTACCCATATAAACTGTAATTTCAATGTATCCATATAAAGCAATTACTGAGAAAGAGTTACAGGACCAATTATTGCAACAGATAGAAAGTTTGTTAAGGAAATTAACTGAATCACACCTCCAGGCTAAAAATAATATTATGAAGACTCAAGATAAACAAAAAGTACGTCATGACCAAAGCTATCGGATAGAAAGCTATTCAATTGGTGATAAGGTGTTATTAGAATGATCCTCTTTATTGATGTCTTATAGTGCAAAATTAGAACCAAAATTTACAGGTCCATATTATGTGTATGATGTTTGTGGCAATGGTACATATAAACTACGAACGATAAGTAGAATAACAAAGGGCCAGCTTGGTAAAACAGAAAAAGTTCTTAAAAAGGCTGTGTATGGAAACCGGTTAAAATAATATGTAGAGCCTTCTGTGGAAAGGAGCTCTTAAACTTATAAATATGATCTGAATTAACCTTTGTTCTCTTAAATATAGAACCTTTTCAAGTGACCACACCTATTTTAAAACTCATCCTTCGTCTTTAGAAGTATATTAAAGAGTCTTCTGTAGAATCTCTCCGTATTACTAATAGTACTATTGAATTTCTTGATAGGCAAGGAGACCAGGTTCCTATTAATTTAGCACCAGAAATTAATGATGATTTGTTAGAAACTCGTATGCCTCTTTTTATTGAAGATCTTCACCGAATCGGTGACCCTGCGAAAGAACTCTGTAAGGTTGAAGGTACAAGTTGGAACCAACAGATGGATTATCTTTGTATTCAGATCCAACTCTGTCAGTTAGATCGTGCTATCCTGCTCCAGCATTACTATCAGTTGGGAGAAAGATTAGCAATGCATAATTGGGACAAAGAAGTTAAAAGAGAAATGAAGGATTGATTTACCTACCGAAGTTATAAGAATGCATTGAGGATTACCCGTTGTGTTTATAGTCTTTATTACATACGCAGTGCCCATAATCTACTGACTACTTGCCATTTATCTGCTAATATTTTATTAGAAATGAAAATTGGAAATTTTAACATATTACTGGAAGAAGCACGATTAGGGAGTCAAAAGAAGATTGAGCAATTACTAGACCTTGATTAAGTGGTTGTAGGAGCTTATAGCTAACAAGGGGGGTATGTCATGGTTTTTTTTTAGAAAAAAATCATGACTTGTAGTAACGAGAATGTGTATACTGTAAGGCTGGATTGTGGCGAAGGCTTAGAAGTTCAGATCGGTACAAATAATTATTCGTCATTTTTGTTTAATTCTATATCTATAGATTCTTTTTATTTGTTTGTTATTGTGAGGCCCAGGGTTTAGGTCTGGAAAAGCTTAGGAATGTAATGGTAAAATCGGCTTAGAAGGTATAGGTCT